AGGTTCTTAGGACGCTCGGTGATAGAGATTGTTCGTAGAGCGAGGAAGTGTACGAATTGATGGGGTTTTCGGGGTGAGTCTAGTATATTCACTACAATACAATGTTGGATTGTTTTTGTAGAGAAGGGAATATGCAGCACGCCTTCAATCTCTTGCTGGAGATGCAGACGAAGGGTCACTCTCCAAACGACGTTACTTACAACGTGTTGATTAACGGGTTTTCGAAGAAAGGTCAGTTTGAGGATGCGAAAAAGTTAATGGCCGACATGTTGAGTAAGGGAATGAAGGTTTCGGCTTATACGTACAACTCTTTGATAAGTGGGTATTGTCGAACGGGAATGTTAGTTGAGGCACTGGGGCTAAGGGAAGAGATGAAAATGGAAGGAGCTATGCCGACTGTATCTACTTATAATGCTTTGATGCATGGCTACTGCAAGAATGGAAGTGTAAGTTATGCTCGACAGTGGGTTGCAGTAATGCAGAAGAAGAATTTGGCGATGGATATATTATCATACAATATTCTGATATACGGCTACTGTGTGCTGGGGGATATAAACGAGGCGTTGGTCTTGTTATCCGAGCTAAGGAGAATGAATCTTGATCCTACTTTAGTTACGTACAATACGATAATGGATGGGCTTTCTAGACGGGGTGATTTAGAAGGCGCTAAACGCATAAAAGACGAAATGATCGGCCGTGGAATCTCTCCTGATATCGTCACCTACACGATTCTCATAAACGGTTCTTACAGGACGGGGAATATGTGGATGGCGAAAAAGTTTTACTACGAGATGCTGCACAGAGGATTGAAGCCCGATCGTATTGTGTACACTACTCACATAGCAGGCGAACTGAAGCACGGCTATTTGGACGCAGCATTTGAACTGCAAGAAGAGATGCAACTAAAGGATTTCTCACTCGATGTGATAACGTATAACGTGTTTGTGGATGGGGTCTCTAAGTTGGGTAATTTAGAAGATGCTTGTGATTTATTACAGAAGATGGTTCGGAATGGAGTTGTGCCCGATCACATTACCTATACGAGTATAATCCATGCCCATTTGGAAATCGGGTACCTTAGGAAAGGCAGAGAGTTGTTTGAGGAGATGGTGAGGAAAGGATTGTCGCCTACGGTTGTGACTTACACCGTGTTGATTCACTCTCATGCTGGAAAAGAAAAGTTAGATTTAGCAAAAAATTATTTCTCGTAAATGTTGGAGAATGGTATTTTGCCTAATGTGATCACGTATAACGCTCTCCTAAATGGGCTCTGTAAATCTAGAAAAATGGACGAGGCTTACAGAACTTTTTCCGAGATGCAATCGAAAGGGATATTTCCGAATAAGTACACCTACACTATACTGATATACGAGAACTGTGACATTGGGAATTGGAATGAGGTTCCGAGCTTGTACATTGAGATGCTGGACAGAGGAATCGAGCCCGATTCTTGCACGCACAGTGCGCTGTTCAAGCATTTGAGAAAAGACTATAAATTAATTGCCATACGAGAACTCGAACGCCTAATTCGAAATGAAAGGGGAAACAGCTGAAGCAATTACTTGAATTAGAGTTTCAGATTGGTCAATGTTGAGATTTTCTGCTCATCCGAGATTTGCGTTCT